AAGAAGGACGATAGTGCCGACAATTTGCATATTTACAACCGGTTGGAATAAAGAGAGGAGGGGCCGCGGCTCTCCGGTATTTTATTTGTTAGATACCGGAATTACGACGACTGCCGGTCGTCTCTCCTTGTGCTCAAGTGTTCTCCACGATGACTTCCGGGACGTTTAATTCGAGTGTACCGTTCTGCCGGAATTAAATCCCGGTATAATCTTCTTTTTAACGTAAAAGCAACTTTAACCTCCGCGGGATTCTTAACTTTTCAACCACGACCCTTTTCCTTTTCCTTTCTTTTCCGTTTCTTTCTTCCTCCTTTTTTTTTTTTTTTACTAACAAATTATCCCACACTCATAATTTGCCAAACCTTCTTCTCTCTATCTCTCTCGAACCAATCTCGACAATTCACGAAACGTCAAACAATTGTCGCGCGACAAACGAGAGAATAACAAATAACAAATTGTTCCCAACGTCTTAGCCAGGATGGCCTGAAGAGGGGTGACTCGCGTATGATCTCTTCGACTCGAAATCCTTAATCGCGAAAGCGTCAGCTATGAAATCCCGGAGCGATTTCTGTCCCCTCCTCGATTGTTAAACGGCCAATAAAGTCGCGCGATCTCTTCCAGGGTGACAGCGGCGAACAATGGGACGATCCCGTGCCGCTCAAATAAATGTATTTGATTTCGGTTTTCAAAGGACGAACGTGAACACTCGCGCGTGCACCGATCGGCCGGGGTGCACGCGCAACACCCCTCGGAACGTAAACGGGGCCACGTGTCTAGTTTAAACAGAGCCGCGGAGGGTTTGGCCGGAACTGGATTCACCACCGTCCACGATCAACGCGCCGCGTTGGATTCAAACTCGATGATTCCGAGCCGAGAGTGCGCTGAACCGTAAGGTATTGTCGTTTGGGGCTTGGCCAACCCCTCGTTGCCTTTCCTAAACCCCGCACAACCATCGGTACAATTACTACCACCGTAACAGTCACCGATTGTGTATTACCTTCTCTCCCCTGCCTGTCTCTATCTCGCTTCTCCTCTGCTGGGACGGGGAGGTTTCAGATTATTTCGCACAGTTTTCGAACAGCCCATTAAAAGCCAACTCGTTGGGGAGATAAACGTTGATTCGGTAGTCCAACTTTCTCTCTCTTCCTTTTCGTTTCATCTTTCTGTCTCTCTCTTTCCAAATCTCCATTCCCATCGTTTCAAGGGCGTTCTTCGTTTCGTTCTTCAGAAGGGTTTCCACTTCAAACTGGACCACCCGCGGAGCTTTGTTCTCGCTTCCTGCGCGTTCAGGGTTCATCAAGGTGCGCGACAATGAGTCTCGTGAATCGATGCGCCGCACCACCGAGCCCTCTTTGTTCCACGAGATTGTTCGCCGACTCGTGTATGATATTGTGATCCGCGTTCCGTATCGATCTTTCGATTTTTCTTTCGATTTTTCTTTCTTTCTTTTTCCTCTTTTTTATTTTTCATTCCAATGAAACGTTTGTACGATTACATTGATACGTTTTTTTTTTTTTTGCGTTATATTCGCGCATCGGATAGAGGTCGAAGAGCGGAAGGAAAAAAGAAGGTAGGCAGAGGCAGGTAGGGTGTAGGTTCGAGGAGAAAGGCGGAATGCGCGTGGCCGGCGAATTTTCGTTGATTTTCGAGAGCGAGGTTATTAAAAGCCGACTCGTTAGGGATGCGAACGCCGCTTCGATTTCCGATTATGTTCCCTCTCCTCCTCTTCAGCATTCCTCCTTTCCCGTGCCTTTTTTTTTTCGCCGCACATTCCTTTTCTTTCTCTCTCTTTATCTCGGATCTCGGTTCACCGGTTTCCTTTCCGACGCGGATCGCCCCGAGGCGATGATCCGTTTCGTGTTTCCCCGAAAGGATGCACGAGGAACAATAAAAATTGGAGAAAATTCGTTGCGGCAAAGTGATGCCGCAGTCAACCGTCTCTCTCTCTCTCT